GATTTTTAAGCATCTTTGCTGCAATGATTCTTGCTTTTTTCCAACTACAAGACAATAAACATCAGTGTTTATGAGTGGTGATAAGATTCTGAATTCTGCTCTCATTGTTCCTGCTGTGAAATGATTGCCTATTTTAAAACCACCCAAATAGAGACTGATTGCTATTATGAACAAAGAAGACTATTCATAGAAATAACCTTCCTTCTCAGTATTACGGGTGCAATAGTGATGAAAAGTCATATACCATACTGTAAAAGTCAGTCTTACAGCACACCCTAGTCAGAGGCACTGAACGTTTCACTTACTTGCTTGTTAATCATTTAACCACTTAACCTATCAGCCATTCAACTCCTGTCTCCTTTTCCAGACATAGCTATTTGATGTTTCCAGGCAAAACACATCTTCTTCTGCTTGCTATTCATTAGTTTCCATCAAAATATATTTTTATATTAAAAAATAAGGGTGTGCTAAGATAGAATCCTAGAAATAGGTCATTTTTCTTGGTAATGGACAAATGGTATCTGTGGGACTTTTCAGGGGTGAACCTTGTCCCATGTCTTTCAGAAGTGAAATGATTCATCTGACAAGATAATGAATTGGTTGCGTTTTTGGAAGAAGATTTGCAAAACAGTTTTTTCCCCAGGATGGACAATTTAGAAAATGTTGTGAAAGGAGAAAGACAGGAAGAAAGAAAGAAAGAGAAAGCAAGCAAGCTAGTTTACTACAAATGAATTCCAGTCAGAAATGTGAACATGTAATCTTGAAAAAATCTCCTCCTCAGCTGACATGTATTTGAGATAACTGTTATTACTAAGGGCAGAAAATAAGTTTTAGGTTATATTTAGAATCTTACTGAGGGTTGAATGGAATATTTCAGGTTTATGAAATATACATCTTTATAATGTTAATGTAAGCTTTATCCATTTATTTTCATGTTTATAAAAATAGCTTAATAGACTATAATATACTTAAGTACATGTCCATTTTTTTTCTTACAAAACTATATTTGAGACAAGGACACAGAAGAACATTTTATAAATTGGATACTCAATTTGGCAAATAGTTAACGTTAGACTTTTTCTCTTTTCTATGGCAAGATAGAGAAATTCATTGTTCTATATGCTCAAGAATATAGAGATTCTAATGTTAAAGAGTTTTGGGTAAGGATGGGTTCAGTGAGAGAAGGACATTATGAAATGGTGAGAAGGCATTGCATTGTAGCATCAGAAAAATTGGGACCTGTACAGCTTACATTCCTTCATGTGCATAAAGGCAATGGTATGATGATTAATATTATGTGTCAACTTGACTGGGTCACAAGGTGCCCAGATATTTCATCAAACAGTTTTCTAAATGTGTCGTGAAGGATGTTTTGGATAATATTAATATTTGAATCAGTAGACTAACTACAGCAGATTACCTTCCCTAATGTGGGTGAGCCTCATCCAATCAGATGAAGGTGTGCATAGAACAAAGAGGATGACTCTCTTGGGAGTAAGAGGGCACTCCTGCCTGATTGGTTGAGTTTGGACATTGTACTGTTTTCTGACTTCAGACTCTCACTGAAACATTGTCTCTTTGTGGGTCACGAATCTGCTGGTTTTTGGACTGGGACTTATACTACTCTTTTGGTTCTCAGGGACTCAGACTTGTACTGGAACTACACTATTGGCTTTTCTGGGTCTCCAGCTTATTGGCTACAGATCTTGGAACTGCTCAGCCTCCATAATCACTTGGGCCATTTCTTTATAATAAATGTCATTCACTCTATATGTATACATCCTGTTGGTCCTGTTTCTCTGGCAAACCCTTACTAATACAGATGGCAATTTCTATGCCAATGTTCCTCTTGGTGTCCACTTCTGTTTATCTTCCCAGTATGACAGAAACTAAAAACATAATCAATAATATCACGTCATTTCTCATGCAAAGACAACAAAATCCACAACATGCCTTTCCTCCAGTACCTATTGATTAGTCCAGACACATTAATCCCCTTTCAGTCCAGGACTTAGGCCAGAAGATAAAGTAAATATACTTAGAATAAGAAACTTACTTTAAAATTTCATTAATAATCTGACTTTTTCCAAATTGAAAAATTAAAGCAAGAATCTGTCACTCACATAGCATCTATATTTAGTTCCTGCAATCAATCAAATTCTTTTCCTATTAGAATGAGCTTTTTAAAATCTGATCTTGCCCAAGGTTAAACATGCTGATTTTTTATAACTAAAAATGCCAAAGTGATCTTTACTCATTGAAAGCATTGTGAAATAACAGTTTCAGTAGATAACTATTTTATCTATGATATTTTCTATTGATGTATAAAATCTCTGTCTCTAGGATTCTAGATTCAAGGTATTTGATGCCCATGAGTTCAAAACAGAAAGCTCTGACAAGTCCTTCGTGGTATTGGAACATTAGGATTCTCATTAATTTTAGTCAAAGATGATACTGGAAATTCTAGCACCCCTTTAAGTTGCTCCTTGAGTGCAGCTGGTTTTCTTCCAATTCTGAGGAAAGGTGTAAACAACCATCTAATAAAGCAAGAACTTTAAGTTGACTTGGGTCTACCCAGCTTGTCAATAATTCTCAAGCCACTTTGCTACCCATATTGTAGAAAGAACTGCCAGGAAGGTATCAAAAATTGTTCTGGATTTAAACAATTTTGCCAGGTCATAGAACAAAGAGGATGACTCTTTTGGGAGTAAGAGGGCACTGTTACCTGATTGGTTGAGCTTGTACATTGTACTGTTTTCTGACTTCAGACTCTCACTGAAACATTGTCTCTCTGTGGGTCATGAACCTGCTGCTTTTTGGACTGGGACTTATACTACTGGCTCAGTATAGTGATAGTGATGAAAAGTCATAAAAGAAGAGGAGTAATGAATTGAGAGCTTTATAATCTAACATTTTTTTCTCATGAACTTTAATCTGCTACTGGCCATGCTTGCTCTTATCAAGATTTTGAAGAGGAGTGGAATGATTTGAGAAGCCACTTATGTCTTCTTCTCTCCTGCTGAAGAAGCTATACAGTTTTGAAAATCTAGAAGTTCTGAAGAAACATGCCCAATATGTTTGGATTTATCTATTAATTCATTTGTTAAACATTTATTGAATATATACTACATGCCAGACATTGAATTAGCCACTGGGAATATTAATTACCAACAAAACAGACATGGCCCCTATCATCATGAAGTATATGATTAAGAGAGCGAAACTGATGGACTTTTAACAGATAATCATATCAATTGAATCAGTGATAAATGCTGTGAAAGAGATCTTAAAATAGAAGGGTATGGCCTAGATAGGAAGGTGAGGGGGCCTTCCAAAGGAAGCAATGATCACACTAATATCTGAAGAACAAGTAGGAGTTAATTAGGCCATCAGGGGAGGAAAGACCAGAACAAGCAGAGGAAGTAGTATGTGCAAAAGCCTGTGGTAGGAGGGGGATGTAAGCATAAGAGACTGAAATAGGACAAGTGTGACTGGAGTAGAGAGGTGGAAAGGTCAGGGAGGAGTTGTGTGTTGGAAGAGGACAAAGAAAAGCCAGGTAGGAGACAGACCAGGTGAGGACTTAGAGGTCACGACAAGGAGTTTTGTGTTTTTGAGTTATACTGATTGAAAAACTTTCTGGGTAATTTAAAGGTTACCATTTCCACATTACAGAACAGTAAAAGCACTATACTAGGAATGGATATGGTTCAAGAGGAATTTCTACCCCAAACTGTTAGTTATGTCTTCAACTTCAGTTATTTGAAAACCAATCACCACTGGTTATTATTAAAAAAATTTAAATGTATTAAAATTAATGCTAGAAAGAGAGATTAGTTCAGAAGCCTAAGCTGTTGATTAAAGGGAGTGCATTGGTGTGAGGAAGAAAAGACGTCCCCTCAGGAATTCAAGTCTTTTGCAGTCTAATCTTAGTCGAGCTGACCCTATTACTCTAGGCAAACTAATTAACCTTTCAGTGCCTTGGTTCCTAATATGTGGAGGGAAGATAATGATGACCCACTAATAGGACCAAAAATGATTCTGTAAACACCAACAGCTATATAAAAAATATAAATAATCTCTTATCCTGTTGTAAGATTCTAGTTCTTACCAAATTTGTGTTTAATGAAAAAACACTCTTTCTTTCTGATACCAAATGTTTGTTTAGCAATCCCCTGGGTCCTAGATAATCACCATAACTCCTACTGACAGCAGATGGTTTAACATAGTAGAGGCACTGCTGAGAGAAAGGGGGGTGGGGTAGGATGGAAGAATTGGTACTTTTAACTTCTTTTTAAATGACAACTCTTTTTAAAATCTGTTAAATAAGAAGAATACACTTTTATTGTTTCATAAGCAGATTGCAGTTATATCAGCTATAGCTAAGCAATTCCAATTGGATTGGCAGGCATATAGTACCATGCCAAAAAGTGACCAAATGAAGGGATTCCTAGTTGAGTTTTATTGATTCACATTTAAATTGCTATCTCTTTTGTGGTATTTCCAATAATTTTATGAAACTGTATTCCTTCAGTGGCATAAAGCTTGCCCATTTCTGATATTATCCTTGGTTATCATGCCACACTTTCTTTAGCAGTTGAAAGGAAATCACAATCAATCTTCTGGAAAAATATTTACATAATTAGAATAGCTATTTCTTTGTGAACTCAGAACATTTTCTTCTATTTAAAATTCATGTCTTGTAAATATATAGGTTTTCCATGATGTGCAATGACTCCAACATATAACAGTGATGTTTTTGTTGGCATGAGTTGACCCATAGCCAAATGGCCACCTGGAGATCTTGGTTAGTGGCTATGCCTAGATGATGAGGCACAATGAACTGACAGAATCACCATTTTAGTTCTGACCCAGTTCCCTTGTGTTGCAGAACTGTTAAAGTTTTCTTGCCCTTTTGTTCATCTAAAGGGGAGAATAGGCGTTGGAATTTTTAAGTGAAGGCTGAGCACTAACATGTGTTATGTGTCTTATTAAATGCTCACCTGTTTGGACCTTCTTTCCCAGAATCCATTTCCTTCTGCTCTGGCATTGTTCTGGTTGGTTCTGCTGCATTTTCATGGTCATGGTATGTGATCAGATCACTGGAGGAATTTTCCTTGAAGATTTTTTCTGTGGAAAGGAAATAAAAATAAATATGAAAGAATATATGCCACTCTTGACACAGAGATTTGACGGCATAAGCTGTGAAGATGTTGCTTGTTTTCTGGAATTGTCTTCTCAGGAATGACTCCCCTAAGATTCCTGCTAAACAAAGTAGAAATGTATGCAGAAAAGAATTGACATGTAGACACCTTCAGGCCAACAAAAAATATACACGGGCATGTGTTGCTTCACGACAGGGATATATTCTGAGAAATTCATTGTTAGGCAAGCAATTTTGTCATTGTGCGAATATCATAGCATGTACTTACACAAAGCTAAATGGTATAGCTAGTATGCACTTTGGCTGTATGATGCATACTATAGCTCCTAGGCTATGAACTTGTACAGCATGTCAATGCACTGAATAGGCAAGTGTAACAAATGGCAAATGTGTATCTAAACATAGAAAAGGTGCAGGAAAATATGATTTATAATCTTAAGGACCATCATCTTATATGCGGTCTATTGTTGACTGAAATGACATTATGCAGAGCATAACAGTACTTGAAGTTGGTGTACTATGCAATAAAATGTTCACAAGATATTCTTTTTGATATTAGCAAAGCTGAGAATAAGAATTAAACATTCAAAACACATTTTTTGTTTTGCTAAAGTATTCATAATTTATGACTGGAATTTATGTATTATAGAATTCAGAAAAGTAAAATAGGCAAAAATGACGTGATAGACATTATTTTACAATTGAATTCTATTGTATGAAATCAAATTTTTGCTTTTGGTTTCACCATCTTTAGTTATGACATCTTTTTCTGAAGAAACAATACAAACTAACATATACTAGCTTCATTTGGGTCCAGAAATTAAATTCTTTCCTTCAAACCTACAAATACAATTTCCAATTAATATAGTTTAAATTGGAATTTACCCAGAGAATAATCAACTTACTAGTAAATATTTGGATTTTATGGAAGGTTTCAATGAAAGCAAATTACTTAATATTAAAAGAAAATAGAAGCAGAAACGAAAAAACAAATGAAAATTTAATGGTTATTTATTATCCATAGTTACTAATTTATTTTTAATTGTATGTCCTTTGCTTAGAAAATTGAAATCAAGGCCAAAATTATCACTTATTTTATTATAATACATTATAGTTTAAACATTTAAGCAAACCCAGTAATGAAATTTGGATTTGTAAAAATGATCAATCAGGGGGTGATCCCTTTATAAAAGTTTTCATCATTTCACCCTTTAGTAAGAAATTTTCCATGATCCATATAAAAAACTTTCAATGTACTAAACTTTTCAGGAACATGTTTAAGGGATAAAAATAAAATTAAGTCACTGCTTACAGTTTTTAAAAGGCTATAGATAAGAAAGCTTAAACTCCTGGATTTCCCCAGATGCTTTTGTTTATTGTGTACCTATTATCTGCCTTTATTTTGGAATTATAGTATTTTTGACCAGGAGATAGAAAACACACTACTAACTATGTTTTCACATGTTTAAATGAACCCCCCCACCAAGTTCCCCAATTTACTTGAGATACAAGGATATAATCACGTCCTTGAAGTCTGTGTTCCAGGTGAAATATTGCTATGTGTATGGAATTTTATTGAAAGTTGTAGGACAGAGACCTTCCTATACAGGCACATGTGGTACACTAATGAGTTTATCAGTATCCAACAGATTTCAGAGTGAAAAAATAGCACTTTCAATATGTCATTTTGTACTAACAAGCTTTGGATAAAAATAAGAGAGAAGGATCTGTTTTCCCTGTGTTCTTGGGTCAAGCCATATTTTCCCATTTATCTTTATCCAGCCAAAACACAAATCGTATTTCAGATCTCTGACATTATGCCATGTTGTATTGCTAAGAAAGTGGCAGCCTAATCCTTTTCCCACACCCACAAACACTGGGACAATTACTGTAAGGTATTTTAAAACAAAGCTTTTAATCTCTGGCTATGAATGTCCAGTGCTTTTATGGATTGAAACTCTTGAGACCATATGTTGTATATACTTTTTTTTTTAAACATGGAGAGGATCTAGAGTTATCATGGGTTTCCCGAAGGAATTTGGGCCCAAAAAATGTTGTGGATCATTGTGTTCCTATATTTTTCTTGAAACACCTACTCTGAAAAAAAAAAAAAAAATTGAAGTAGAGCATGAAATGTGACTTTAAAAAATCAGAAAAAGAATTCTGAATATAAAACAAGCAGAATCTGTAAAACAATCTGTCCTAGGAAGCTTTATTGACCATTTCTTATAAGGCCACATGGATATAAGCTGCTTCATGTACTTTCTCCATCGCCCAGTCAAGTTATAGCAGACGTATTACATTTGCAGTATTATGTTTCTGCTAGTACCAATTAAATGACCAACTGCTCTGCAATAGTTCTTTTCTTCCATTCTAATAAAAACGTTTGTTTACCATCATCACAATTGGATTAAATTAACTCTAAATAGATACTAGCAACTTACCTGGTCTTTTCTAGACATAGCCGAGCCTTTCTAAAATGACATTGCCTCTATTATGAAAAGTCTAGAATATTTATAAATTAATTTCAGCCTAATTTGATTTGTGGATAAGCATTTAATTATAAAATAAATCCTCATTAATAGCTTATTGATGAAGATGAGAAACCAGTTATTGCCTGTTCTTGGATTCAAAGCAGAACAACTTAACAGACCCCATGAGGACTTAAAAGAATCCCTGTCAGCTATAGTTCAGTGTGGGTGTCTTTTTATCCAGGCAGCTTGTTATTTGTTTGTAGAAACAGATGGTCGGAATGTTTGCATCATCCTCATCATGAAAGATAAATCTGAAATACAAGGCAAATCTTGCCCTGGCATCTGGGTGACGTTTTGTCAACTGCATATTGTACTTCTTCCCAACTTCACACATGGACAGTAGGATTCTCTCTTTTCTAGCTGCCCAAATGAATAGTGTAAGTCTTTCTGCCAACTGTGCTCTTTGCACGCTGTACAGCAATTGCCAGATCTCATCAGTACACTTGCTCAAATTCTACCCTGAAATATGTGCCCGTGGCAGATAGTGAAATCTGGAATCCAGTGTTCTGATATGGTTGCTTTTATTGAATGTGCAAAAAATAAGTACTATTGAGTTCGCTCTCCACACATCGGGTTGATTCTGTCTCGAGCCTGGCGGCATCTCACACCGGGCCTGTGTAATACACTTCCAATCTGCTTGGCCCCCTGTAGCAGCATATCGTGGAGACCCAAACAGGTGTGAAACATCTGCTTCTCTTTTCAAGTGAGGAAATAAGTGATGCGGAAACTCATTAACCTCCCTGTATTTTATAAGTGACATTAAATATGTGCTGAAAAAGGAGGGACTCCAAAATGAATCTAATATGAGAATAAGCTTGCAAATTAGAAAGGTGCTCAATTGGCCTTGTTTTAAATGAATGTAAACAGAAGAAGACTTGACAATGCTTTCATTGGTTGTAATGTTTGGTGTAGGGAATGATTCTACTTGATTGAATTTCTGATTCTTTTTTTTTTTTGAGTTGGAGTCTCACTCTGTCGCCGCAGCCTCGCCTGCTGGGCTCCCGCGATCCTTCCGAGTTGCCGGAATTACAGGCATGCGCCACCACGCCAGGCTGATTTTTTGATTTATTGTAGAGATGAGGTCTCGCTGCCCAGCGGGTCTCGAACCCGCGGGCTCAGGCAATCCACTCACCTCAGCCTCCCAAAGCCACGGGATTACAGGCTGAGCCACCGAGCCCGGCTGAATGTTTGATTCTTAAGACACTAAATGCATGTGAATTCTTTCTCAAAACAAATCTTTCATTAGGAGCCAACAGTACCTGGGCAACTGGATGTTAGATGAATTAATAAAGACTAAGCCTGGGAGTTTTAATAATATGCCTAAATGATACTGTTGCTTTCTTCTTTTTTTTTTTTTTTTTTTTTGAGTTGGAGTCTCACTCTGTCACCCAGACTGGAGTGCGGCGGCCGCTCCCGGCCACCGCAGCCTCGACCCGCTGGGCTCCGGGGATCCTTCCGCCTCAGCCTTCCAAGTAACTGGAACTACAGGCGCGCGCTACCACGCCCGGCTAATTTTTTTTTGATTTTATTGTAGAGATGAGGTTTCGCCAAGTTGCCCAGGCGGGTCTCGAACCAGCGGGCTTAGGCAATCCGCTCACCTCAGCCTCCCAAAGGCGCAGGATTACAGGCTGAGCCACCGAGCCCGGCTTGCTCTCTTCTTGATGAAGGAACATTTGGAGTTAGAGTAGAGAATGTTTATTTTTTGGCACTCAAGATTATATTTTTGCCTCAGCTTTAGTTAATTTCATAGTTGCTAGATTATGTAATGTACTTAGAATAATTTTAATTGTATATTTTAATTACACTTGAAATTTTATTATACCTTTATTGATTGTCAAATGACATGGAAGAAACGGACAAATATTACAGCAATGTACGTGAAATGGAATCTGAAAGAGCACACTAAAATGTCATTCACAAGAGAAGAAAAATAGTATACTTTGTATTAAGAAGTGTACATACAATCTATAAAAAATCCAGAGGAGAAGGTTTCAGAATAGGTGAGAGTTCTGGAAACCACCTCATATGAGACATGGTTTAAGAAATTTAGGCTCTTTCACTAAAGTATTGAATATTAACTAGTAATCTGACAGCTACCTTAAATTATCTGAAGGACTGTTGTCTAGAAAAGAAAATAGATATATTTCATATATTTCAGAAAACAGAAAAAGTACACATCAAAGGAATTTACAAAGCAAACAAATAAGCAACATTCCAAACATTCTAACAACTTGTCTAACAGCAAAACATATTGCTTTGTGAGGCAGTGATGGCCCACTGGCTGGAGGTATTCTATAACCTCCAGCCATCTAAGCCTGCACAAAGGGAGCATGCTAAGGGAGGAAGGATGGGGTGCTTGCGTGGAGTCACAGCTTAGATATCCTCTAGAGCTTTAGGGTGCTTCCAAGTCCTGATGGGATCTTTATATTTAG